ACACTCTCTAACTACTCTACCCAGAAAAATGGGCTGAAAAGAATAAGGGTGACACTTAAAAGGGTCTTCAGTTTGGTAAGGGAAATGAACAAGTCAACTGAGTCACACAGATGCCACAGTATGGCTGTACGTTTGTCCAAGATTACTGAAACAGAATTATATCAAAGTTACAGTCAAACTGGAGTCTGACAGGCGTCTTCACATACCTTGTTATAACTGTATGCCAAATTACAGCCTAGAAAACACTTTTAGAATAGCTCTGTGACGCCAGCCTTTGCTTTATTTTATGATGAGGAAACTAATGTTCTGAGAAGTTAAGTCATTTGCTGAAAGCCATGAAGCTAGGAAGTGGCAAAGACAAAGTCAGGAAGTTCAGGTGACACTAAAAACTCTCAAAACCACAGTTAATGGTACACTGAGAGCCACTTGGTTGTCTGGGGAAGGGTAATTTCTTGAATGGTAACATGAACACCTATGTATATATTTTTTTAAAGGCAGCCACAGACTATACTTGTTGGAAATGCTTAAAAGATCAGTTATTCTACAATTTGATAATGTTGTTGTTGGGTGGGTCCAGTAGATTCTGACTCAAAGAGACCCTTGATATAGGAGAACTGCTTCATAGGGTTTGTTGTTGTTAGTATTTTGTACTACAGTTACTTTTTAAATTTTTATTTATTTATTTTTAAAGTTTTTATTCTGAATGATGTGATGGTTTACATGGGAGAACATTAGCTTTACATTTATCCTATTATCATATATCATTTCATTGCCATGATTACAATCCCCTTCATGCATTATCAAACAACCAAAGGTATACCCCACAAGGCTGCCACCACCCCCCCCACCCCCACCCCAGTCGTCAGCACACAGCCCCTCTCCCTCTCTGGGTCTAAAGTCACCAGCCGCTCTATCTCTCCACTTCATCGTCTCTGCCTCCATCTCTGGTGTGACTGCTTCTCTGGGTAGGGTCCTGCTCTCTGTCCTTCTCCTTTGATGGTTCCAGGGACCTCCGCTCCTGGACTGCAAAGTCAACTACTCCCCTCCTTTTGCTACAAAATGTCTACCTTTACATTTCCAACCCTCACAGTCAGTCCTGATTACAATTATTCACAATTGTACTACAATAGTCCTATCCCCAACTTGTTCCATCAGTCCCGCCCAGACAGATTGGATACTACTCAGTTGAGATTCTACCTTCCTCCGTGCCCTCTGGATCTAGGTTCCCTCTTGAAAGCTTGTAAGCCAGTCACTTCTTGCCTTTGTAGCCCTCCCATTTTGGGTAGCCAATGTACAAATTGCCCATCCCTGCCAACCCTGTGTACCGAGGGGGTGGAAATGATCCTCACTGTAAAGATTTGTTCCCTCTTTTGAGCCTTCATAGGTGTAGGTCAAGTTCATCAAATCCATGGGGTTTTCTAAGCTGTAATCTTTATGGGAGCAGATCTCCAGGTCTTTTTTCCCAAGGAGCCACTAGTGGGTTTGAACCACTGACCTTTCCATTAGCAGCCAAATGCTTAACCACTGCACCATCATAGCTCCTAGTAATTTGATAATATGACACTGTTGTACTGATATGGATGTGTCACTTAATAGATAAATGATACAATTTTATTTAGAAAAATAATGTTTGAGACTGATAAAGGATGTGAAACAAGTGGAAAATTTTGACAACAGTCAAATAAACCCAGTACTCTCAGTAACCAATATGACTTCTTGTGAACTAGTTTTATAACTCAGAACTAAAAGCCACCATACTTCACTATCAATTCAGAAAACAATAATTTAGAACCTTACCATCACATCTATTGAACAATGGGGCTCCTCTGCAATAAGACTTGTTTTATCTGAGCTATAAAAATTATTGCAGGTATTATTACCACTAATGGCAATGATTTGGCAAATTAAAGTCAATATATACGGACAGGCACTGACTTCCTGTGCTTTGTGCAGTTTAGATGATTAAAGACCTAATACAAAGGCTTCAGCCATGATGGGGATTATCCTCATAGTAATTAATAGTCGTGTGAAGTGGAGCAATAATCATCTAGTAGAGACGTAATAAAAATGTCCCAACAAAGGTACTAAAATAAGGGCGATAAATGTTTTATAGTAACAATCTGGAATTGTAAAATGGTCTAGTGCAGGCCTAGATGTTCCATGTTGTTGAGTACTGATGCCAAAGCACCCTAGCAAGAAAAAGGGAAGCAAATGATTCAGTGACAGTTATATTCTTCTGATTGACAAGGTAAGTGATTATTTCTATTGAAAATATGATTACAATTCTGCTCAATAATAGGTGAAAAATATTCATGCTGCACATCATCTAATAGGTATCCTGGCAGCCTGGGACACACTGATATTCCTCAAGACCTGTGCTAAAGACAAACTAAGGGAAAACTCAGATGATGATAGATGTAGACAAGGTTTGGTGATCCTGACCCAAATATAACAACCAGATAGTATAGCCCACTGCTTTAAATAGAAGTGGATGGACAAATTTTTTAGTAATGTGTTTATCAAAGGCTATTAAAAATTTTGCTGAAATGGATCTATTAACAGTCAACAAATCCTGGCTGCAACAGTAATGCTTTTGGCTACAAGTAACAGAATACTCAAACTATGATGCTTCAATAGTTTAAAAACCCATTGCAAAAGAAGTGGTGGTGGTGGTGTGCTGTGGTGTGAGTTCCGACTCATAGCGACCCTACATTGGGTTTCCACAGCTGTAAATCTTCATGGGAACAGAAAGCCTCATCTTTCTCCTGTGGAATGGCTGGTAGTTTTGAACTACTGACCTTGGGGTTAGCAGCTCAACTCATAACCACTATACTACCAGAGCTCCTAAAAGATGTGGTAGAGAGCACCTAACTGATTTAATCCAAGGACTAAGTCTGTGAGACTTAGTAAAGACATCCTGGGCTAGTGTCCTTCTCTCAGGATTAAAAATTATCCACTACAACTTTTTTCACACTACCAGATTCAAAATCAGAGAATAGGTGAATGGAGCAAAAAGAGGTTTTCTCCACAAAATGATATCTCATTTATCAAAAGAGGAAAGTTTTATAGGAACCGCCCTTTGTTTTACATCTCATTGGTCAAAATGAGGCCACAAGCTGACCCTGATATTAACAACTGAATTAGTATGAGAGGTTAAAGCTAATCCTGGGACCTCCTCTTAGTGCACTGCCACCGGCTCACTATCTGAGCAAAGTCATGGTTCATGAGCAAGGAGCAACAGGAGCAGGAAAACAATTGGACAGGTAGGTAATCAACAGAGCCTGCTAGAGTGACTAATGCTCAGGTAGCCTGCTGATGATAAAACCAAGGAAATGGCAGAATTCACTCTATTTAAAGGAAACATCACAGAACGCATGATGCCCCTGAAGAACAAGAGCTGATACAAAGTGCAAACTGGGAAACATTAAAGAAAAGCCCATTACCTAAATAAATGAGATGCAAAAAAATCCATAAATGTTTACTCAGTGCTACTGTGTGGCAGTGGAGTCCTGGTGTGGTGCTGTAGGATAAGCACCGGACTGCTATCCACCAAGTTGATGGTTTGACCCTACCAGCTGCTCCCTGGAAAGCCTATGGGTTGTTATGAATCAATGGCACTTAACAACAACTGTGTGGCAGACACTATTCTAGTTGCTGAGGCCACAGTGGTGAACAAAACAAATTCCCTGTCCTCAAGGAGCTAACACTCTACTGGGTTCAGATATACACATTGTGCCTCTAATAGAAAAAAAATAGCAGTCATGCTTCCATAGTAATTAGAATATAGTTACTTCTACAAGTTGGAACTGACTCGATGGCACTTACCACCACCAACAACAGGACTCTGGACTCAAGGAGGGAGAGGGGCTGTGGGCTGGCGGCAGGGGGGCAGGTGTGTGGGATGTACCCTTTGGTTGGTTGATGATGCATGCAGGGGATTGTGATTATTGCAATGAAACAAAATACGATAGGATGAATGTAAAGATAATGTTCACCCATGTAAACTAACACATAATTCACAATAAAAACTTAAAAAAAAAAAAAGCCTCACTAAATTACAAGAACACCTTAGTCAAATTAAAGTAAATTCACTGTACATTAAGCTAACTTCTCAAAACATTCACATATTGCTAATGCATACTTGATGCAGTATTTTTTCTAGATAATGCACATTATCTTGACATCATCAATGACTGTGAAGAAAGATTACACAGCCCCCAAAGGATGAGAACCTAGGCCTCCTCCACCTCCTAAATCATTGTTTTCACTACAAACTGTAGCATTCCTAAAAACAAGTTTATAAGATTAATGATGCATAAAGATAGAGGCTATAGTGCTTAGACAATCTGAGAAAGAGACCCACCTTCTGAATCACTTAAATTCATTGTGGCTGAGTGCTGGCCCTTAAGAGAATGGTGTGCTAAAAGCGATAATTGGGGGTATGGATACATGCCTACACATCTTAGATTTAACTAGGTCTTCCAATGTGCTTGAAAATAATTTACTAGGGTTTTACTAGAGAAATAGCCTCCAAGGACCTTCTACTCTACTGTGAACCTAGGTTTCCTTGAGTGTGTCAAAGAGAAAGAGGACATAAAGAATGCCAAAACCACAGTATATTCCATTTTCCCTAGTTCTCGTAAGTTCAAAAAGGGTGACAGATCTATCTCTATTCAGAAGCAATAATCTCCAGAAACCAAATTCCCTGCTAGAAGAGGGTTATCAATCAAGTAGTTTGGGGGATAATATTTAATTAATAAACACTTTCTGACCAGAACACAGAATTCAACAACAAACCCTACATATACCAACTTCCAGTGCAGACAAACACAAAACATACAGATCATTTGGATGTTATGGGGAAAAAAACTGTTTAGTTAAGGCAAAGGAGAAGCTAGGAAAGGTCAAAGATGAAAGGTAATTTCAATAAATTAGGAAAGGGTGTGGGAGAGTAGGAATGAAAAAGTATGTGCATAGACAAAAAAGATTTCTTGACTTACTGTTTGGTAAGCCGAGGGTCCAGAGGGGGGTGTTGTGCTCCATACACAGGCTGGATGCTAAAACCAAGAAAAAAATGAACAGCAAGCTGTTAAGCAACTAGGTATGTTGCATGAATATCCTACAAAATTAAAAAGGTCTTTGGGAAATAGCTTACTTCCAAGAAAGATTATTCTCCAAGTCATCCTTAAAAGACAACTATTCTTTACAAGCAAGCCTTTACACACGTTTCTTCCCTGGTGAAGCTTCAGTTCCTTACCTGATTGCCAAGAAATCCTACCAGTAAAGAAAGCATCATGGAAAGATAATAGGCTTTAAGGACCCCAGGGGGTAGAGTTCAAATGTCAGTTATGGCACCCAATACCACTGTAACTGTGCGCTAAATTATCTGACCATTTTGAACCTGTTTTCTCATTTGTAAAATGGGACTATCACCTACCTCAAAGGATCAATGGGGCTAAAAGACAAAGAAGCAATATTACATAGCAAGGGAACACTGACCCAAGGAACTCTCACATACTGCTAGTTGGGGTATAAATTGATGCAATCATTTTTCAAACGCAAGAAAAATGAAACATGCATACCCTAAGAGCAAGCATTTTCACTCTCAAGTATATATCTTAAGAGAAATATATACATATGTGTATCAGGAGACTTGTATAAAAGTATTCATACTAAAATGGTTCCAGTTAGGCCCAAACTAGAAATAACTCATCAACAGTGAACAGAGAAATGAACTCATATAACAGAATACTATACAGCAACGTACATAAATGAACCAATGCTGCAAGTAATAACGTGCATGAACCTTATAAACGTCATGTTGAGTGAAAGTAGCAAAGTATAAAAGAGTAAATACTGTATGATTCTATTTATATGCACTCCAAAACTAGCAAAAATGGCTGCCTTGTTTTTGGGTTTTGTTTTTTTTTTGGTAAGAAATTTAAAAAGACTTTAATAAATAGAAAGACATTCATGGTCATGGACTGGAAGACTAAATATATGTTTTAGCAACACTTTTTTAACTTACCCTTTTACATGTAATACAGATAATATTAGTACTGTATTTAGAGTTTTGTTTGCCCTCCTGGAAGTCCATGGTGCTTTTGATATTTTTCTCTAACACCGCAATATCAGAACATATGCATGCATAACCTCTCCCACCACACACTACACACAAAAGTAGGCAAAGTCCATATTGGGAAATATTTTTTCTAAGAAAATAATTTAAAATAGAACTCAGACCAAACATATCAGTCACATCACTAAATAAAAATGGGCTAAAATAAAAATGATTATTAATGATAGGAGACTGGTTAAATAAATTATAGGACATCTGTTCAAAAAAATGTGGTGGTTTTATGTTCATTGATATCAAATAGGACAATAATTGAAAAAAAGTGCAGAATTGTATGTATAAATTGCCAATTTTAAAAAAAACAAAACTTTAAATACATCCACAGACGCAGCAAGAGAAAAAGTGACCAACGAGCAGTGTCTGCAGATGGGACCTGCCACAGCCAATTGAGAATTCATGAATTACTTTAGAGACAAGAAAATATATTTGAGTTGCAGAAACCTACCTGTGGCTCTCGGAGACAAAGATGTGTAAGGGTTGTTGTTGTTGTTAAGTCAATTCCAACTCAGAGCGACCCTATATAGGGTTTTTAAGAAGCAGCTGGTGAGTTTGAACCACCAACCTTGCAGTCCAGTGCTTATCCTACAGCACCAAACCAGGACTCCAACTAATCCTGGTTTGGTGCTGTAGGATAAGGGGGAGTAGTTAATCTTTCATTTTAGGAACAGATGATCTTTGGGTCACCAAGAAGGAAGAGCATGAGATCTCCACCTAGAAAAATGGCAACAGCAGAGATGGTGGCAGAGATGGTGGCACGAAGAGACAGCAGTTGCGGGCTCTTGGCCCATGGACTGAGTAAGGTTGTGTCTGTGAGCTAGAGAATCGCTTGTAGAATGTGCCCTTTAGATATTCAAATTCATATTTTTTGTTTCGCATGTGTGCATCAAATATTTTTGCTTTGTTCATTTGTAAACTATAAGATGTAAATGGAGAACCACAGGGAGGAAGTAGGATAACTGTTGTTGCAGGGAGGGGATTGCAATCATTGAGATAAAACAAGTGTATGATTTGTTTAATGCAAAGCTGATGATCTTGTCTGTAAACCTTCACTCAATTCACAATAAAGTTTAAAAAAAAACACACACACATATTTACAAATGATCAGGATTATATATCATAAATTATCTCTGAAAGAGTACACGAGACACGAGAGACCATGGTTTGCCTCCAGGAAGAGGAACTGGATGACTGGAGGATGGGGTGCAGAGAAACTTAGTTTTCGCTGCAAACCTTTTTGTACCTTTCTGATTTAGTACCAGGTATATGCATCACCTTAAAAAACAACAACACAAAAACAGTCTTAAGAGGGTTGGGAGGTTTAAAAGGAATAATGTGTTAAAAGTTCTTTAGCACAATTTCTGGCAAATGGTAATACTCATTTAACATAAGCAGGTAGTGGAGTAAGTATGCAAGCATTAGAATGTTACCTGGCACAATTAAGTGCTCAAGAAATGTTGTTTTTCTTCTTCTCTCACATTTTTGTAATTTAATCCATACCAAATACTCACAAACAGAACAAGTTTACCAAGTACTTTGTTTGATATATAGTTGCTTTACTGTGCTTTGCAGATACTTCAGTTTTTAACAAATTGAAGGTCTGTGGCAACCCTTCATCAAAAAGCACCATTTTTCCAACAGTGTGCTCTCATTTCACATGTCACATTTTGGTCATTCTCACAGTATTTCAAATCTTTTTTAAACGCTACTGCATGCTTAATAGACTACAATATAGTATAAAAATAACATAACATACATACATACATACATACATACATATATTGTTGTTGATAAGTGCCATCAAGTTGACTCCAAACCATGGCAACCCTGTATAGGGTTTCTAAGGAACAGCTGGTGAGCTTGAACCATCAACCTTGCAGTTTAAATGACTTTGCAGTCTAACGTATTAGCCCACAGCGCCACACCGGGACTCCTTATTGCACTGGGAAACCAAAAATTTGTCACCACTTGCCTTTTGCAAGTGTACTTTATTGTGATGGTCTGGAACCAAAACTGCAATATCACCAAGGTATATGGCTGCTGTTGTCAAGTGCCTTTGAGTCAGTTCCTACTCACAGAGACCCAGTATAGGGTTTCTGAGGCTGTAAATCTTTGCAGAAGCAGAAAGCCTCATTTTTCTCCCGTGGAATGGCTTGTGGTCTTGAACTGCTGACACTGTGGTTCACAGTTTGATGCTTACTCTCCAGTAGTATACCTGTAGTCAGTCCCAACACTGTCACATGGATTTCTACTAAGATTTCAGAGGGAATTTCTTGTGTACAATTTTCAGTTTTAGATATGGCTTCTTTTTAGCTGTAAGAATTCCTATTTCCTAAAACATTACACATACTACTACTAGTACTACATAAAACATACTACTACTACAAAAAATATAAACTCTGAAAAGCAAACAATACTACTTTACTACGTTCCAAGTGTTTCCTAGGCAGAGAGAAAGGAGAAAAAAAAAATGACCGAAGGTAAAGGGAAAGTTTCGTTTAGAGAGAAAGAGGGCTTAGACGAAACAAAAATGAAAACGCAAACTAAACAAAAGAGTCATTTGTTTGTATCTTAGTGCTGTAAAATATTCTACGATGAGTACATTTAAACTTTCCAAGTCCACAAGTCTTCATCATAGTGAATTATAAAGTTCAGCTGATAACTCTGCAGGAAGATCTCAATAGTCCAGTTGGATTAGGTGACTTGAATGAAAAAAATGAGAGGAGTCAAGATCCTTTCATTAAATGAGTATTGCTGTTGTGATTGTTAAGTGCCGTCAAGTTGGTTTCAACTCATAGCGACACTATATAGGGTTTCCAAGGAGTGGAACCACAGACTTTTGGGTTCAAACTGAAGTCCAGCGCATTAGCTCAAAGCGCCACATCAGGATTCCAAAATGAGTATTGTTGTTGTTATGTGCCGTGGAGTCGGTTCCAACTCATAGAGACCCTGTACAGGGTTTCCGAGGCTATAAATCTTTATGGGAGCAGAAAGCCTCATCTTTCTCCCACGGAACAGCTGGTAGTTTCGAACTGCTGACCGTGAGATTAGCAGCCCAATTCAAAACCACTACACTACCAGAGCTTCTAAAATGAGTAATTACTACCTGATAATAATCCTTGCAGGAAAAAAAACAAAACAAAAAACTAACCAAATTGTGTGGGCTGACGAGCAAAGGCCATCAATCACCATACAAGAAAAGGATCTTAGAATTGTGGCAGACTATCTATGAGTCGGAACCGGCACCACGGTACTTAACAACAACAACAACATCTTTAAAAGTCAGCAGCCTGATGCGCTGGCACAGACAGAAAAACTAAGATAAATGATGGACTTCATCGCAAAGGTATCAAAGCCCAGACTGAATCTGTAAACCACAACGTATCTGTACAATAAATTAGCTTATTGTACTTACTGTACTTCAAAAGAGGCAGGCAACAACTTAGAAGAGGGAGAGGATCCAAGAGCCTCAATGCAGACAGACTGAAAGAGCCCTGTGATGACAATGTGCAGTGTCCTGACAGCCATCCCTACTCCTCCCACAGGCAGACTCAACTCATTACTGCATCAGGCTCTTTTCCCTATCTGGAATGCTTTTCTACATCCCTTTTCAAAATCTTATCTGTCCTGGAACATTCCCTTTAACTTCGATACCCCACATAAGACTTTCCCTCACTCTATCCCCAGCATCCATTACCCCACCTTCTTTGATCTCCTAAAATATATAATCAGCGTTTAAATTACTTTTGTTCAATGAGCTGTTTTAAACATATAGTGGAGATGATAGTATTAGGCACACACAGGTAGGTGCCCACCAGATTAAGAAATACAACACTATGGAGTTAAAACTCCCAGTGTCACTCTATTGAATCTAGAGTTTATCTGAGCTTTTGTTTTTGTTTTCTTTTCTATGTATTATCACTA